TCACAGAGAGTTAATCTTAATCACAAGTAAGCATGCCCCATTATTGTATTCAAAAGCAAAGAAAACGATTAAGCATTGACCAAATTTTGACAAAGCGCATTTTTTTTTACCGAAATAGCTTTTGTTTTGACATCACCAATGGATATATTTCTTGCAGATGTCTCAATCGCCCTTTGCGAGTACCCTCTTCCGACAATCCGTTCTTGAGGTATAAGGGAATATACCCGATCACGATAAGAGGTCGAGGAGGAGGGCTATGGTTGGTAGAAATTAATTCCTTTCGTTGAGACCTTTCATTAGAATACCATGAAGTTCCTTTCTTGACATCAAGGTAAAGCGTTTTTGCATTTTCCCAACAAAATGAGTAATATCGAATTTGACATTTTTTGGTATTTGAGTATCCCTACAATTTATATAAATCTTAATGTTAGCGCCAAAATATTTGCCCCTCGAGTTTCCGGTGGCGAATTTTTCCTGTCCAATAATTAGGATTTTTGGGAAATTGACATTATTGTTCTGTTGATTGCTTTTGCAAATATATTCAAAATAAACCATTGTTTTGCAATCATAAACAAAGACTTGATTAACAAACGTGTGAGATCTCAATTATAAGACGTCCAAACAAGAAATTATGCTTCGTTACGGATCTCACTTTGGTAAAAGGCAATATCTACAATTAATTTTGTTGTAACCTTGTCTAGCTCTTTTTCGGGAACAGTTAGTTTAAAATAATGTTGTGTTTACAACGTACTTGGCATGGCAAGAATCTCGAAACATTCGATAGATGAGGCATCTAAAATTGGCCCATTAAATTCGTACACGAATTTTAGAACCAATTAAAGGTATGATTAGACATTAAAAAAAACTGTAGTTTAATATTTTCGACGATGGAAGATCTCGGGGAATGTTTACAACTCAATAAAAAACGGAAATATAAAATTTCTCTAAAATGTTTATTATAACGTTATTTATTTATCTGACGAAGAGAATAAAATCGCTTTGGTCCAACAAAGGATGGCGGCCTTTGTGGTCGCTCGTATAAGAATTTCATTGTTGTTTAGAAGCATAAAAATATTGACTTATAAAAAGATTTAATAATGGTTTATTTATCATGGGAATGATGGGAACGTCGACTATAAAGCACCAACTTTGGATAAAATAGAATGAGATGAGGTGGTCAAATGTCACTGCGCTGTCTCTACCAAATGACAAATGAAAACATAGAAGTGCTAGTCATTCAAATACAATATACCTATAGATTCTTGCGGACATTGTTCATTATCATGTGTGGTAGATTTTTTTTACGTTATACATACACAATGTCCCATTTTTTTACACTCCACATATCGTGTTTATTTATATTCACCCCATCGCCCTTACTAATATTTACTCTGGACAATCCAAAATTTAGAATAATTGGCAGTATTTACTTTACATTACAGTAAAGGATTCGTGACTGAATCGCATTGGTTCTGACTTTGTTGTGATGTAAATTATTTTCGATTTCTGCAATAGATACTAATTGGAAAAAAGTGGACAAATTAACAACTATGGCCTTTAGGCTTTTACTGTTTTTCTTTATTTAATTCTTCATGGAAACTAGACAGAACCGTAATAGAAACCAAATCTGACCAGCATTCATTTTTTGTACAATTTGTGGTTTTTTCTTTTATTCCTTGAGGTTTAAAACAGGAAAAAAATTATTATTTCGCTCTAGAGGCACTTAGCGTATTTTCCATGCATAGATCAATACTTTTTTTGACATTTACAGATGAAACGAATTTATTAAACAAAATCAATCAAATAACGCACTTAGGACCAGAATACACACACCTCGCCACAAACGATCGATTGAAATAATTAATTAAAGACATCTAATTACCTTAAGGCGTTAAAATGTTAGTAGTCTACAATATCGGATCAAACAGCGATTTTTCGATTTCCAGTAGGGGAATTTTTCCACTCAGCTCGCATTGGGAAACCAGACTTTTAATCCGGCTCATATTCTATAGCATTGATCCTTGCACTCGAGAAATCGATTGCTAACTGATTCTTCGTATATTAGTAGCAGAAATACCTCCTCGCACATTATTATCTCCTGATACAAGAATAGTAAATTTGTTAGCCTACATAAAGTGTTGAGGCATTTCTCCTGATGAGTGAAAAGGCCCCTTCGTCTATTATGTTCTTGTGGTAGCCAGACAAGTTTTGCGAAAATTTGTTAACTGATGCTCCATGTATAAAGAGCAGAAATGTACCATTGCACATTATAGGTACTCTCCTGACACATTATGTGTGAAAGTTTAAGTCTAAAAAAGGCGTTGAAACTCTTTTCTTGATGATGGACAAAGAACTTCTCGTGCATCATGTTCTCCTACCTAGTAGCCCAACAAACTTTAGTTTACTAACAGCAAAAACACCTTCTAGCACTAGCACACAAGAATTATAAACGTTTAAGTCTAATAAGGCGTTGACGCATTTTTCTTGATGGTGTAAAAATACCACCTCGTCCATCATCAGACAAATTTTACAAAAAATTACTAGATGACGCTCCTTGCATTGGAAGCAAAAATACTTCCTGCCACATTATACTTCCCTGATAAAAGATTTGTAAAAGTTGAAGTCTGAATAAGTTGTCGAGACATTTCTCTTTATGAAGGAAAAATACTTAATCTCGTCCATCATTTTCTCCTAGTAGCTAGACAAGTTTCATAGGAATTGATTAACACTGAATATATGAGAAGCACAAGCGAACTCACATTATAATCTCCTAATTGATGACGAAAAAGGGCTTCTTTATTCATCATGTTCACCTGATAGCCAGACAAATTTTATAAGAGTTTGCTTACTGATATTACGTGTATTAGGACCAGAAACACTTCCGCGCACATTATGGTCTCCTGACACAAGAATGGTAGAAGTTCGAGACGAAATAAAACGTTGAACTTTTTTCTTGATGGTGAAAAAACTCTCCCCGTTCATCATCTTTTCCTGGTAACCAGACAATTTTTACAAGAATTGATTATTGGCACTCCGTGTATTAGGAGCACATGGAACACCCTTGCACATTACAGTCTCCTCATTCAAGATTACTAAAAATTTAAGTCAAAATAAGGTAAGGCAGTTCTCTTGATGACGGAGAAGGACTTCCTTGTCCATCATGTTCTCCTGGTCGCCAAACAATTTCGCAAGAGTTTTTTGAACCAATACTTCTTGTATTAGGCGCAGAAATACCCCCTCGCGCATTGACACGAAAATTGTAAAAGTGGAAATAATGTTTTCCTGGTAAGAAGACAGTTTTACAAGAATTGATTACTTAACACTGCGTGTAGAAGCAAACGCGTACTCCTCTCACATTATAATGTCCTAATCCAAGATTGCTACAAGTTTAAGTCAAAATACGGTGTTAAGGCATTCCCTTGATGGCGGAAAAGGACTTCTTTATTCATCATGTTCATCTGGTAGCCAAACAAATTTTACAAAGGTTTACTTACTTGTTGTATTAGGAGCAACACTCTATTATAGGAGGATATAAGTATCATTCTTGCACATTACATTCTCCTCATCCAAAAATATTTAGTTTTTTAACTAATAATTCTTGTATTACGAACAGAAACGCCTTCTCGCACATTATAATTTCTTGACTTTGAAACCTTTTTCTTGATGTTGGAAAAGGGCCTAGTTATCATCATGTTCTCCTGGTGGTTATGCAATAACTGATACAGCGTGTATTAGGAGCAGAAACACCTTCTAGCGCATTATGATCTCCTGATACAAGAATGGTAAAAGTTTAAATAAGGCGTTGAGACCTTTTTCTGGATGATGGAAATAGACCTCTTCTTTATAGGTGATAGGAACGTTACTGTCTCCGAAAAATTAGTTTGAAGGCTGGGCGCCCTTGTGGAAGAACGTAGTACCATTGAATAAAAAACCACATCAAACCGCGTTGAATCAGTTGAGTAGCTGGTATAAATCCTCGATTACAATTTACTTAATTTTAATTAGCGGAGTTTGTCCTAGGGGGCAACCTGCGGAGAAACTCCGTTAAACCATTGAATAAAAACACTATTTTTATTCAATGGTTAAACCATTGGTTAAACTGGCCCCATAAAAAAGCATTGCGTTGGCTTTCTATGTGGTTTTTATTCAATGGTGGTAGCTAAGAAAATATTAAAAAACCTCTTTGTATTAGGAGCAGAATTACCTCCTCGCACATGCTCGATACAACAATTACATGCTTGGGCTATGCAGAAAAAAGCCCCTCGATTATTATGTTCTCTTGGTAGTCAGATAAAGTTTCCAAAGTTTTTTTTGTGAGACCCCTTGTATTAGGAACAAAAATACCACTATACATATAAAATTATCCTGATTTTAGTTAGGAGTTCAGTTGAAAATCTAATCTAATGTAAAGCAATAATAATTCTCGATATTATGGATTTTCCGATATCGGCTCTTTGTATTAGGAGCAGAAATATTTGACGATACAAGAATTATTGAGAGTTTAAATGAAAACAACGTGCTAAAGTGATTAAAGGTCTCAATGAAAGGAACCGTTTTCTACCCTTCTTTCTGTTCTCTTATCAAAGTACGGGTAGGAGGGGGAGGGGGGGGGGTTAGTGGAACTAGTTTTATTCTTCATGGCACTCTAATGAAAGGTCTCAACGAAAAGAATTAATTTCTACCAACCACAGCCCCCCTCATCGACCTCTTATCGTGATGTCGGAAGAGAGTACTCACAAAGGGCGTTTGATAAGTCTACAAGAAATATATCCATTGGTGATGTCAAAACAAAAGCTATTTCAGTTCAAAAAATGCGCTTTATCTGCACAAGAGTTGTGCACAATTTATACTTGTCTATTTAATATAACAGCGCAGGCACGAGTGAAATATTATGCATTGAATAAGTAATTACTTATTTAATGGTTTTACTGACCACATTTTTCTGCTGTTTAATTGATTATTTATTTAGTGAATTGCGTAACCGATTTCGTTTTTTCCAGAAGTTTTGGAGCCAAATGTTCGGTATGTTCCCGTGGAATTTCATCAAGCGACTGGGTCCGCAAGGCGAGAGAACACGTCTATCACTTGGCCTGTTTCGCCTGCGCCGCCTGTCATCGTCAATTATCAACGGGCGAGGAGTTCGCCCTGCACGAAGACCGAGTACTATGCAAGGCACACTATCTGGAGACGTTAGACGGCGGCACGACCTCTTCCGATGGTAAACTCGAAACTTTACATCCAATTTATTTAAGTAAATAAAAAGACATCTCTTGATTTGCAGACGGTTGCGATGCGGAGGGTTTCCATAAAAATAAGGCGAAAAGGGTCAGAACGACCTTTACGGAGGAGCAGTTGCAGGTGCTTCAGGCAAATTTTCAATTAGATTCCAATCCGGACGGGCAAGATTTGGAGAGGATCGCACAAATTACGGGATTAAGTAAAAGAGTTACGCAGGTGTGGTTTCAGAACTCGAGGGCGAGGCAGAAGAAGCACATGCATAACGGAAAGGTGAAAAATCAACGTAAGTTTCATTTCCTAATGATACGGTTTAGTGCCGGTTTTGCATTACTCATCCGTTTTACAGAATCTTCTCAAATTCTGTTACAACTTAATTTATATTCCAAAAGCAATTAAGTCTCGGTTCACTGCGTTTCCGATTTACCTCGACTTCTAGTCTCTTTAGTAGGTAATATACCTTTCTCTTCATTTAATTGTACGTGCTGTAATTATGATTTCTTTTTTTTAAATAACGTATTTCATAATTCATGCATGAAGGTAAGTTATTACATGATTCTCATTTCCACTGGAGCCTTATCCTGCTGGACCAGGTGGTACCATTGCCTTGCTCTGCATCGTTTTATGACTTAGGGTTCATACTGTGCACCAAGATTTATATATCTCGGTGCAGGCACTTATATAAGAGAGCCTGTGCTAAGTAATGATGTCGCTAACCTTTATTTTTTCAACTACGAAGATAACGTTGCACTTCCAACAGCCTCCAAATCTCAACAGTTGCGCATGTGGTAGTAGGCGATACGAGACCGAGTCAGAAAGAGATTAATGTCCCTTGAAATGTATCAAAGCGATGATGCGATGCGATTACAAAGCTGTCACACAAGATGACCGACGTGAACCTTCCGGAACTAAAATGGCTCCGACTTCCGGCCTCGTGTGTAGATTAAATACAAACAGGATGCCACAGAAATCTTCTTCAAATTATTTTAACTACATTATTTGGTCTTACAAATACGATGAGAAAGCGTCTTCATAAAAATATTTTCTTCTCGGACTCTTATAAAGATAGATATAAAAATGAAATCTTAGCGATTAAGCACTGCCACTGCACTACATCATCAACTTCATCAAATGCTTTACCCAAGATTTTGGATTTCCTTCGGGATTGCCACCTGACATCTACACTAAATAGACAATTTATTCGACAGCCATTCTTAGTAGATTTTTAGTAGTACCTAATGATTATTTACTCACTGTATTGTCTAGCTAATTAATAAAAATAAAAATTTGTTTCAGTACACAATTCAAATAGTGAGAACAGCAATTTTGCACGACACATAAATTTACATCTAACGTATTCATTTCAACAACATCAAAACAACGTCAAATCGACGCCTCCGCCATTATTCACACCGCAAGGTACGTAAATTTAAAAGCGAAATGATAATCATGATTAATCCAGAATTGTTTCTTGAACAGAATCGCTCGACGAGTTATCACAGGAGTCGACAATGCACTGTATGCAGGAAGAAGTTTAAGAGTCAGTTATTGATATTCAGAATTTTTGATGTATTGGTCGCGCGCCGATATGTTACGTGATTATTAAAATGTACTATCTATTTACTGTTTGTTACTCGGTTGTACTTATTTATTGATTACTCGTAGGAAATGTAAGAATAAGAGAAATATAGAGGTATTATTATAATTTGTATTCATTCATTTGACACTGCGGGGGTGTGAGTGGTCAATCAAGATGTAAGTAATGAGATAAGTAATTTTGGATTTTATTGCTATTCCTAATCTGTCCCCATCCCAACAATATGCATAAATCCTTCACACCCCTACCGTGCACTCACCGTACCTATTCTATTTATTTTCGTGCCATAAAATGCCATAAATACTTTAGTTGCTTATCATCAGCTTTGCTGCACTGGAGAACATACGCGATTGCGCTATTGCTGGTCCGTGGTTCAAATCCAGATTGGTACATGATTTTTTTTGTTGGGTTGTGGTGCAGTCTTGGCCGAAGTCCCACTTACTAAATATGATCTCTGCATTTTGGACAGGCCCGCCGGCAAGGGGCCAGGGAGTGTCCGCCGACCCCCCCGAGCCCAGAATTTATAACTTCAGATAGAACAAATTCGTCAAAATTCATAAATTTTACAGTATCATATGGGATGGGTTGGAAATGGAAAATTTTGCGTTTATTTAAAATTTATCTCATTTCTAGAAAGTTTTAGACCCTTCCACCATTTGTTTCTGGGGACGGCCCTGATTTTGGGATTGGAATCGCATTTATCTAAAAAAAGTTATAGTTTTCTGGTTTTTATATGTCCTTTTCCAGATACCAAATTTTCGCTTGTCTCCATTTTATGCCCCGTATATAACTATCCCATTTTTAATGATTTTCACATGCGTTGTTGCTGTCTTGTACTCGTCCCCGCCCGGACGCAATGTAGTAGAAGGTGCTCGACTAGCCGTTCTTTATAACTCGTACAAATAGCCCAACTTAACAGTGCCAGATTACCACTTAGGCAGAATATGCGACTGCCTTTGAGCCCCGAGGGTGTAAAGGGCCCCATGCCATAATGGCAAGTGAATATGACATTTTAACCAAATTAGAATTTGCTGCTATATTAGGTACGCAATTTTATTTCAAAGATTCAAAGAAGTTAAGGAAGGTACCTGTATAAATTTTGTGTACCATTCAGTATTAAATTAAAGTTATGTTCATATAATAGTCCACTGATGTTTTATTTTACACTACATTTCAAAAATAAGTAAATCTCCTATTTAATTTTGCTGCGGTTTTTGCATTAGATTAGATAGGTGCAGCCTACCCTTATTTATAATGTACCTAAAAATCGTAGAATAATTAAATAGGAGCCCGACGTTTCAATAATCAACCAACAAGGTGTAGTTAAGATTTTCCCTTCAATGTCTATGAGGGGGCCCCGCTGCATTTACTGCCTATGGGCCCCATACGTTGATAATCCGGCACTGGGCAACTAGAACTATATTGTGACCGCCACACAATCTGAGAAACACAATAAAAAACCACAAAGATAACGAAAAGTTTCGACAGTTCGCTTTTAAAAGTGTGATGTATGCATAATATAAAGTAGTTCCTATCAAATAATAACCCAAAAGCATAAATAATGAAATCTATCCAAATGTGAAAGAAAAACACATCACGCAACACACAATACATGACTGTATAAAATGAGTCTATTATTTTTGTTACTAGATTCTAGTGACATTTTCAGTGTAAATCAGGTTTTTAAATCCGTCTTCCTAGTTAAAAAACAGAGTATAGGCGAACATGAAGTCATATGATACTATAATATAATAATATACGCACAACCTAAGATCTGTAGTATGATCTTTGACTCAACCAAAGGGTAGTATTCTTTGACTCAACTGAACGCCACTGAAGAGGAATCTCAACAACACTAGTTTTTCCGACAATCTGCAGTTTCCGATATCACATTCGGTTTGCGCCGTTATTCGCCATGCTATAGCGCGCGGGCTGCACACGGCATTTGCAAAGCAACTCTCAACTCTGGAGAAATGCCGTGAAGACACAAAATCCCCTTCAATTTAGGAAACTTGTATTGGAGTGAGTTGCGTCATCTGTACTCCCAGTTACGAAATGAGGTGGTCGGCAACGTAAAGCTGACCCTGTATGTAAGTAAAATGTTATAATCATTGTGCTGCCATCTACTGTCAATCACCGGTAAAAATGGCATAGTAAAAATTATAGATAGCTCCATAGACAAATTTTTGTGCGTTGCTAGGTAACGCAAATTTGTTATTGTTTTACGCACGCGTACAATCATTTCAAAATATGGAAAATTTTTGTTTACTCTCCCGAAATTTGACCATAATTTTTCGCTTGAAAACGTTTGTAGAGTGGTATTATTTTCGTTTTAAATCAACGTCCTAAACAGGTAAGTTTTCTCTATACAAACAGAACATAAAATCAATACTGCCCAATGAATCTTTCCAATTTCCAGTAATTGTGCTCCAGCATGAAGTTAAACATAGCGTACCCCGCGACTGGGTGTCAAAAGCTCTTCGAAATCGTCGATGACCACAAGGTGAGGATTTTCTACGACAAACGAATCGGTGCAGAAGTTCACGCCGATCCCCTGGGCGAAGACTGGAAAGGTTACGTATTTAAAATTACGGGCGGTAACGACAAGCAGGGTTTTCCTATGAAACAGGGAGTCTTAACTACGGGACGTGTGCGTTTATTATTATCGAAAGGACACACTTGCTACCGTCCTCGTCGTGAAGGCGAACGGCGACGTAAATCAGTGCGCGGTTGCATTGTCGACTCAAACTTGAGCGTTCTATCGTTAACCATCGTTCGTAAGGGTGACGCGGAGATATCGGGCCTGACCGATAAGACTATGCCCCGTCCGTTGGGTCCGAAACGTGCGAATAAAATACGGAAATTGTTCAACTTAAATAAACAGGACGACGTACGTCAGTACGTTGTTAAACGGCCGCTGCCACCGAAGGAAGGCAAGAAGCAGAGATTTAAAGCGCCCAAAATACAGCGGCTCATTACACCTCGAAACTTGCAACGCAAACGTCACATGTTGGCGCTGAAGAAGCGACGTTGCCTGAAGCGCAAGGAGCAATTAAATGCGTATAAAAAGTTACTGGCGCAGCGACACAAGGAAATGAAGTTGAAGAAAAAGGAGTTAAAGCGGCAGCGTAGTTCGAGTTCACGTGAGAGCAAATCTAGTGCTGGTAGTACTTAAAGGTGGCGTAGTTTGTTAATTAAAAATTCTATATTTTAGAGTAGGTAGTGGGTAAAATTAGAAGTCCTTTTATTGTTATATAAGTATTGTTGATCTCAACATCCCAAATAGTTATTTATGGTTTCTTATTGTGGTGGGGTGTCAATTTTTTGTTTAAACTAATTCCACTGTAGTGATAAACTGTAATTTGTAATAAAGTCTTTATGCACTAGCACTCTATGTCTGTAATTTTGTTACTTACATGTAGGTGCATATTTGTCTCTATGTATACATAGTTATGAAGTTGGTTCCTGAATAATTAATTAATAATAATAATTCCATACTGTGTAAAATTATGGTTTTATTATGTATTTGAAACAATTCCTTATTACTATTGGGTATTATTATTGGTGTGAGAACTATAAGGCCTGATGCATCCCATGGTCACCTAGTCTCCCTCAAGATTTGTGTGACCTGTTAGGGTTAACAGATCAATATCTTGCTAAGACTTTGTGAGTTTATGTGGCTCAGTTGTAGAGCGTTGGGCTACATAGCCGGAGGTTGACTGTTCGAACCCTATGGCTGAGGTAATAATTTTTCATCTGTGACAGATGAGACCTGCGAGTAGTATCCTTGAATAAGTAATTACTTATTCAATGGTAGTATAGAACAACTTTAGATCTTCTGAATTGGCACCTCTAAAAAGCATTATGCGGGTCACTCTGTAATTGGGTGCAAGCCTGTTGACATGACAGCCCAGAAGAAAAGAGGGAGAATATAAATTAAATAAATAAGTCGCCTTGATAAATCACTTAACCTGTCGGTGGCTAGGTACTTGGGGACTTGCTCGCCTCTTCCAACTGATTTATAACTTAACTTTATATGGTCTTTTTGTATATCACTAAGTATATGCATAGAGTAATATTTACTCTATGGTATATGGTAATGGTTCTGGACCATATACTTTGGTAGAAGCTTGGCACATAATGCTCTACTGGAACACACCATAAAGCTATATGATCATTAATTCCTAGCTGCTTCAGGTTTCAGATGCACTCCCGGACAAGTTCAGAATCACAAGTGAGCGCCACTAAAGGATTTAGTGCTTCTAGACTGTCTGAGAATATCAATTATTGCTTTTTTTCCTTATATACAGTTATATATTTGAGTGTGCAGAGACGTAAGTAAGTTTTGTATCAACAGTAAATATTCAAATTGTAAGTTTTTAATATTCTATTAAATACAAGAGACCAGCATGTCCCTTCAACCATAACAGAAAACAGGTAGGTGATAATTAATTGTGGGGTTTTATGAAATGTAATCTCATATAGTGGGCTTCAGAAACCCAGGAGCCCATATAGTACCCAACGTCTCGTGGACGTACGTTGTAGGTCCATTATATGTACGAACTAGTGTACGAATGTCCATGAACCTAAAAAGAACATCCATAAAATGTTCTTCCCGAAACGTTTTGGGGATGTTTTGAATATACATTTTGTGGATGTCCTTTGATGGACATAACTACGAAATAGTTATTTACATCATTCCCTGTAGTCCACGGGCAAAAATAAGCGTAAACCAGAAGTTTTGAACAATAAATTGACATTTTAAATTTCTAAATTTCTACTTTATCGGCATAGAGGACTTGATTTTTTCAAAAGAATTATAATGTCGAAAAAATCTCGCGAAAAGGATTTGAATTTATATACATTCGATTTAACTAATCCGTGCAAAAAATAGAATACATGTTACGTGCGTGAACAGTATTTGCTTGATTCGCGCGAGATGCGTCGCTCGTGCGCGTTGCGCACTCGCGCCGCCAAACTTCGCGCTCATCTTCAAAATAACTGTTCCCGCACTAATAATGTAAATAACTATTTTCTATTTCGGTGTCACAATGATGATTTTGTACAACTGTTTTCGGCCGAAAACAGTTGTACAAAGACAGTGATTATAGTCGTTTTTTTTTGGTAACTCATTTCTTAAGTTGGCAGTTACTAGTTAGTACAAGTAGGTACTTCGTTGGGTACTTCCATGTTTGAACTTCAAAATGTCAGTCTTACTACGCTGCCAATCTAAAACTTAACGGCATAAAAAGTGTTCCCAACATAAAACATGTTAGTTCTAACGTTCCCTATAGTTTCTGATAATGATTTTTTCAATTAAATTAAAGCACCGAAATAGAAAAAATAGTATGAAAAACGCGTGTTACAATGCTTTATTGTAATACTCCTATCTTGCGGACACTCGTGGCTACGCTTCGCGTCGCCACTCGTGCCACAAGATAGTCGTATTACAATAGGTCGCATTGTAACACTTGTCTTTCAATATACTANAGCTTAAACCAGAAGTTTTGAACAATAAATTGACATTTTAAATTTCTAAATTTCTACTTTATCGGCATAGAGGACTTGATTTTTTCAAAAGAATTATAATGTCGAAAAAATCTCGCGAAAAGGATTTGAATTTATATACATTCGATTTAACTAATCCGTGCAAAAAATAGAATACATGTTACGTGCGTGAACAGTATTTGCTTGATTAAGCGCGAGTTGCGTCGCTCGTGCGCGTTGCGCACTCGCGCCGCCAAACTTCGCGCTCATCTTCAAAATAACTGTTCCCGCACTAATAATGTAAATAACTATTACAATAGATTACAATAGGTTAACACGTGCTGAGCATTCATTAGATTTAACCAATGACAAGGCCTTATGAAAAGCGTCAAATTTACATTTTTTGAGGCCGGGACTTTTCGCCGAATGCCCACAACGCCGACACGATTTTTTGAAGGTCCATATCGCCGACTACACTACGCCGACGGACACTATGCCGACCGTGCCCACATCGTCGACAAGTGTGCAAGGGACACAACGCCGACCATGCCCACTTCGCCGACGGACACTACGCCGACCGTGCCCACATCGCCGACAAGTGAACAAGGGACACTAAGCCGAACGTGACCATAACGTCGACTCATACAACACTTCTTAATCAAGCTGGACGGTGTGCAACACCAAGTAGCTTTTGACGTTAGGTTATTGTAGGTTCAGAATATTTTTTTTAACTTTTTTCGAACTACAGACTCATACGAAAATTCTTAATCAAACTGGACGGAGTGTGAAGCAAAGCAGCTTTGGATATTAGGTTATTTGTAGGTTTAGGACATGTTTTTTAAACTTTTTAAAATGCAAACTCATACACTGGACAGAGTATGAGGGGCCTGGATTTTCGAACAGTCGGCGTTGTGGTCACGTTCGGCTTAGTGTCCCTTGCACACGTTTCGGCAATGTGGGCACGATCGGCGTAGTGTCCGTCGGCGAAGTGGGCATGGTCGGCGTTGTGTCCCTTGCACACTTGTCGACGATGTGGGCACGGTCGGCGTAGTGTCCGTCGGCGTAGTGTCCCTAGTCGGCGATATGGACCTTCAAAAAATCGTGTCGGCGTTGTGGGCATTCGGCGAAGTGTCCTAGACCCCATTTTTTTAAATGAAGTACGTTTCCAAATAGCCATTTATAGGAATTTACAGCTAATCTTCTGGACCAGACCAGAAATAAAAATAAGAAAATAAAAGAATAAATAAAAATGCAGAAATTTTTTTTAATTTGTTTTAACAATGTTTGCTTTTTTTCTATTTTCAAAATTATACGTAGGTAAGCGTAGAAAGGTCTAATAAATTTCTTCCTATATTTTGATTGAGAATGCTAAAACATAATAGTAAGCTTCACATTGCCAAAAGTATTATACTTAGGGGGCCACGATTTCTCCATCAGTTTCTCCTATAACTGCATACAGTCTTTCTTAAAAGTGGGTTTCGTTCGTTACCTATTCCTCCAAATACATATTTGATGCTGTAATGTTCCTAGGGGTTCCTCAGGCTGTACTGGAAATATTGACTTACTCTATACTTACAGTTGGCAACCCTGGAGAACAAATTGCAGACAGCGCCATCTAACTTTAGTTGTCAAAAAATGGACGTTCGCGCCACTTTCAAATCTCGGTAACATTCGGCTTGGATGAAGTTGTACGAATTGACTTCTACGTTGCAATTTTCCTATGGTGGTCTTTTATGCGTTTGAATGTGAGACACAATCGGGAAGGGAATTAAATAAAAAACAGAATTTTTGTGCGTCCGAAGGAAATGAGAAAATGAAATATTACGCACGGGGCTGGGTTCCGCAGAGCAAATCCAAACCGAAAAGCCAGGAAAAAAGAACCAGCAATAAAAAAACCTGGCATAACACAAATACAAGAAATAAATCAATTACAGGTAACGATGTACAAACAGAAATACGAAAATCAAACATCTTAAATCGTACAACAAAAATCAAGTAATCGAAGCAAATGTGGTTCACATACCTACAAACCAACATTTTAAACAGAAGAGAAATTAGACACTAACAACTGCAGGGACAGGGCGAACTCCATGTAGTTCTTCTCTTCCACGGAAATAAATTATTAATCCAAACATTCAGGGCAGTAATATTCTGGTAATCTACTCCCGCGTAAACACATTCAAATAATCGGTAAACTCAAACAATAGCAGCTCACGCTATGCCTGCAATCAGCAGAGGTCAAATCCAAAGCAAAGTTAAAAACGAAACCAAATAAGGCATGAAATTTAAACGTTGAATTTAAAATAGCTTAAATAAAACGAGTAGGTACTATCTTGATATCGCTTGGAACTTTTTGCAAACATTCTTCTTTGATAATATATATAATAAGGGGTTTTATGAAATTTGACGCTCCCCATTGCTTCCTAATTCTTTACAAGTAAGGGAGAGGCGTCAGGTAATATAGCAGTGTGACGGTATCAGAGTACGTCTTTTTGTAAGTCAATGCTGGACAACTATGGCTTTATATGTTCCACTGTTTGGTGAGAATTTTGTCAACCCAGATTTTATATGTTCCCCGTAGATCTCTAAGTTAAGGGACCCATTAGTCACCCAGACGGTTACACTTTATTTCCATCGGAATTTTACCTCAAAACAAATACTTTGCCCCTGTCGGCTATTTCATGTGAGGTTGAGTTAATTGTTCTAAAAAAGGTTCGCTTATTAACCGAGCCTTGGCCATTCGCAGCCCGTCGGCATTAGCTGTTCTACCTTTTGGGCCCTTTGTATGACGTTGTCTCCTCTTGATCCCGGCGTAGAATTGCGAAGACCCTCCGCGCCCCAAGCTCGTATAAGACGTGACCGCGGTCAGTTTGAGATTCATTAGTCATCATCAGCTTACCACGACGGTGTGGTTATTTCCCCATTCGGCCATGACATTTCAGAGTCGTTGGTCCACGGTACGGTGTTAGGCGCTGCCAGAAGCTGTTTTAAAAGTTGCGAGCAACGTATTCCAGTACCGACCTACTACGAGTTACCCCTCCTTAGCCCACCGACTGGAGTCTGGACTCGCATGGCATAGACCAGGGCATCGATTCCCGAAGTTAGTCGATATGCTCCGTGATGTGCATGTGATGTGACCGGCTGCCATGACGTCATGATCGTATACGATAGGGATAAGTTCAAGTTTAGCTGCATTCCCGAATCGTGGACAAACTTTATGCGCTAACCAATCACAGACAAGAATTGAACTGTCATTTGTCAGTTTTGTATTTTGTTTTGTTTTTGCATTATGGATACTGCTATTAATAACCAGAAAATCCTCGAACAATTCCATGTTTTATTTCACAGAAAATATGTGAATTTATAGGTTAGGGCACTGAATAACCTCTATAGCAAAACAGCTGGAAGATCCGTCCTGTAGCTGCAACTGCGCATGACTTTCACGCAACGAGTGGTCTAGACCAGTCGTTGCGTTCGATCAACTTTTCGCTCGATGTGGTAGATTCGAGAATGCAGTGGCATTGACGTTCACATCAAGGTCAGTCGATGTGAACAAAACACATCTTCGGGAATCGACGCCCAGATCATATGGTAGCAAACCACCTTTCGAAGTTTACTTCGCGGGCATTCACTGTCATCAGTCGTTTATGATCACCCTGTATTTATCCATCCTGCGTGGGCGTATAAAGCTATTTTTTACAGTTACTTATACACAGTGATATATGATATGCTCATACACGTGATCTAACAAGGCATGAAATTGCAGTAGTGTGACAAAAAGAACGATGATATAGTCACAATTAACATGAAAACGTGTGCTAATTATGATACGATTATTGCGCTCATATGTAGTGTTTCCCAACGTCTCGATTTGGTTATCTAGACATTTCAATTATCACACTTTACAGTAATTGAAACTATACGCATTTTGCAACGGTCATAAAATGTTCTCTCATTATGCATCAGTAATTACCCTTCTCTTATATATATGGTAATTACATTCCTATACAGGGTGTCCCATGATGAATGCCGACTATCGAGATCGAAAGGAACCTTGGAAGACTTCTGAAAAGATTAATCACTGGTTCAAAAATATCTGATAAGTTATTAAAATAATTCAGCGAAAAATAAATTCAAAAAAGACCTAGTCAAATGTGCTGAAATAAAATCAGTATATTGACTATAATAGTTAATAGTTCATTTTGTTGATACGTCTTTCATTAGAATACCATGAAGAAAACAATGACTACCCCCTCAGTTAAATTGACACCATAAGCGTCTCGGGAATTAATTAATGCCCCCTCCCCCCTTAAGACAATTAAATTTGCAAACGGGCGAAAAAAAGTTGCTAGTGACTACGAAAAAAATTTTAATGTACGATTCATTTTATTAATATCTATAAGGGCGGCTTTTGAATACATAAATTACATGTATAGATAACTACAGTAATGTTGAAAATGTCCCTCGACGGCCTGGATAGTGGATACATGTCTTCACACGACTCTACCTACATATTTCGGAACACATCCTGCAAGGTAGTACGTGGCGGGTGTGATCCGTTTAATGCGTAAGGTAATTGCTGTCTGCAGTTCCTTCCTCCAGAGTCTGGGGATTATTTTCGTACACGTGGCTCTCTTTAGCGTACCCCCAAAGAAAAAATCTGGGGGAGTGAGTATAGAGATACCTAACAAGTCAGGGAGACTATGCCGTCAGCAAAAAAGTCGTGTACACAGTTCCTCCATTCTGTTGGAACCGAGGATGGAACCAGCATCCTTCAATCTCATGTAACTGGTTTCTGGTACTTTATTATAAAATATGTAGGTAAGTTGAAACTTACTTAATACTTTTTCAAGAATCAAGAATTATGTTATTAAGTACGACTTTAAGAGTTTTTGTTAGATGACCATGGTACAATCGAACGCCAAAGAAATGACAGTTTTTGGTACCACTGAAAATGGAGCGCCCACTAAAAGACCTAAGCTAGCTACGCCACTGGCGCAAATCGCCCCTTCCACAATCCTCACTTCCACTTTTAAGCAAACTTGCTTCTGTCGGTTTATAAAATGTTTACCTTAAAATTTAAATACGTGGTGTTTGAGTACGTGTACAGTACATTTCGGTACTCCTCTTTTATTTAACGTGTCCTGTCTTTACTTCAATTTTTTGCTGAGGTGTTATCGATTGATCATCTACGAGTGCAGCCCTACACTACAGTAAGTTTTTGTTTTATTTTAATTTGAACCTATCTAAACATTTACGGAAATATCAAAGTCATCTAACACTGACTTTTTTTGTTAAGTGGGAATTTTAATTTTGAGTTCATCCCTAACCTAAAATAAAAATCAAAACAAACAATCGTACAACTTCAGAGCGAGAAATTTTCTTGCTGGATTTCATATCCGTTTCCGCCTTTTTTAAAATATAAACTTTGAATTGCTTATCGCATTAAAATAAGATAAAAGAGCAAGAGCCCAGGGCCTTGTTCTTTGCCTACTTTGGTGTTGAAGGAAAATTCTTTTTTAGTAAATAGGATAAAATTTGGTTATATTTGCCCCTCGTCTACCTCATTGCAACTATTCTATTCTATTTTATAATAGTCTCTGATGTCTGTCCCTTTTGAAATTGAAATTTGGTAAACTGCCTTTTTCGCTACCCGGTGAAGTACAGTGTGAGCAACAATGATTGAAGCGTGCGTCATCACCGCTTGTTCCTATTAATATCAAAACTACCTTCTTTGTATGGAGTTGTATACGAAAATGACGTTCTGCGCTGTCACAGTGACGTGCGTCTATTCGTATTTCGTATCTTGTATCAAATCAGCATATGCTATGAGCGGCACATTGCCAATTTAGCTTCAATCTTTGTTGCTCACTCTGTATAAGCGGGTTATTAGGTTTGGGTAGGTAATCCCGAGGGTAACACCCTGGATAATACTCATTGTCAGGGCTGGATTTACCACAAGGCCCAGGCCTAAGGGGGCATCGTTCCAAGGGCGTACTATGGCCAAACCCATTAAAATTCTTTCAAATTAAAAATCACACTTGATAAGTTCAGCGTAACAAAAAAAAGAGTTGCAATTTAACTATACAGGGTCCTGCAACAGTGCCTCGCCCTTTGTTAGCCCATAGAGATTAAAAATAGAACACCCTGTATATTTTTAGTTGTTTCGATGTCATTTGTTACCTCTACATTGAGCCTTTTTGATTGTTTTTGTGTCTCCCTGCTTCAAAGCTTTGTTTTCTGTAGCCAAATGAGTCCAGAAAGCTATCATTATTGGCCTAGACCGGCACAGATACACTAATAATTGGTTGGTGGAACTGATTTCATTTGCAATGACATTTCTAAATTTAAATTAAATTGTTAGAATGATAGGCATATTTTTTGTGCAAATTCCATTTTAAGCACTTTATGGCTTGGCAACATAGTAATATATGTAAATGTGGTAGGTAAGTACTCTAATCAAGAATTGTACATTTCACTTACAAGTTTTCGTTTAGTGCGGTTATGACACTTTTGAGTTTTGTACATGGTTGCCGATGGTAAACTTACCTAACTGGTAGGTATCTGTTGTAAATTGACATGCTTGTTACAGTGCTACCAACATAACATCGAAATATTCGAAATTTGAATGCAAGTAAAATGACAGCTTATAATTCTAGGAGGTAGAAACATAAACAATGAACCTTACTCTTACTCGCAAAAATCCATTTTCTGGACTTGTGAATACAAATAACTATTGTCAATGTTGCCATCCTATTAATTTTTTTCCGAATAATTCCCCATAAGCAAACCTCCCTATGATGTATCGTAGCGACTTTTTTTGATGTTAAGAAATAAAATTTGAGCAATAATGTTAATCCTAGTAAAAGGTAACACTTTGATGAGAGTTGGATTTAGTGATACAGAATGTTCACAATGAAACGGCAACATTTCGGAATTTCAAAGTGCTATAACTTTGAAATGGGACTATCACTATTTATTTATTTTACTATTGCATAGTCTTTTGTGGCCTCCTGTGTCTAAACCCCATAGATTGTTGGATATTTCATATTTCTCACAAAAGTACCTACCCATTAATAAAAATAAAATAAAAAAAGTTAGGGGATCCGGGATTGTTTCCTTTTTAAAGCGTTTAAGTATTTTTATTATCCTCTGCTTGTTTTTTACAAAAAATTTTTTCCGTGTTTTTCTTCTATTCTCTAGAAAATTCGCCAAAATGGTTTTAGTCAAATTTTTACGTAGGCTTTTAACAATATTTTTAGGAAGAATTATAAACGATTTCGAGGAAGGATACCAAAATGGTTTTCAAGAAAATATGCTCTCAGTATATTTTTCTAATAAAATTCTAAAGAATATTTCCAAAAAGATGTCTAAAGAGAGAAGAGGTATTTGAGATCTACAGAAACTCTTAAGAAGCTTCTCAAACAAGATCTCTGTAAAGATTACATATATTAAAATATTGTATCGTAAATTTAATGACGTGTCTTGAAATGAATTAATTTATAACAGTGCGAGCTATTTATTATTTCGGCGTTGAAATTAGAACTAAACTGTAAATGCAATTTGATTTGCTTCTATCGAGTGTTCTCGAGTGGTCGCGAGTCTTCTCGAATGTTCTAGAACAAAACACGTCACACTTCCCGAAAAGATCGGGTCACATCGGCCTTCGTTCTTTAACGCCGATGTATAATCGTTCCTGGCACCTCAATGTCTATGGGAATTTCTGGACTATTCGCTAAAATATCTAAGACGAATTCCAAAAACCTCTACAATAATTTTAAGTAGAGATCTTGGATTCTTTTGAAAATTATTTCTAAAAAGATAAAGCTTTTGTGTCCCAATTTTATTGGCGCTATTTAAAGGACGATGTCAATCGGAATATTTGATCACATTTGTGCACAAACATCCCCAATTTGGATTTATTCGTTCCGAGGGGAACACCTGTAGGTATAATTTGCTGGTATTTTATTAAATTGGTTTGAATTTTTGGGAATTTGTTTAAATTTTATTTAATTTTTGATTTTAACTTTGGCATAATTTGAGGAATTGTTCTAAATTGTTGAAATTTTTTTGAATTTTTCTGGAGTTTTAAATTGATTTTCATCTATATTTTCATTTAGGGCTACTATTCAGGCAGGCACCACACATTAGGTTATTTACTTCATAACGGCCGTCGCCTTCGTCGCTTCCTAATATATGCTACTTTGTACGGGATTCCGCAGCATTTGCTTAAACAATAAATACCAGTTCCCGATTTTTTAAACAAATCGCTAGATAAATCATCTGAAATTCGCCCTAAAGAATGGTTCCTACAAAGCTATGTAGACTCGCCAAAGTCTGATAAGGATCGGGAAAAGGCCTAGAAAGTATCCGAAATTTGATTGAATTATGTTAATTGTTTCAAATTTTTCTAAATTAAAATATTTTTGGCGCATTTTCCAACGAAGTTGGGTGCGATATTGCAGCCACTTTCTCTCTCCGTCCGACTGTCTGTCTGTCCGTCAGAGGCCTTAACTACTACAGTTTTCAATATATTTAGTTCGTTCTTTTTGAATTCGGGAGCTTATAGCTCTGGCATCTGAGCCAATCTGAGACTGCGCAATGTCAACTTTCTTATTTATTAGTACCTATATTTTATTGAAATTTTAACCACAGATACTTCTAGTAAAGGCAAACATGTCGCATATAGTAAAAATCAGATGTGCGTATGCGCAGTGCCCTCTTTCTTATTTAAGGAGATATTTCTTTGAATGTAACAAAAGATGGTTTTAGTAAAAGCAGACGTATCGCATATTGTAAACATCAGATCAATTATAATAGAAAATTGAAAACATGTCAGAAAACGGATTTCTTTAAGAGGCGCGTATGGTGAACGAAAAGGGTTTGTTAGGGTCTTCTAGTTTAAATTTTTTCCCATAGAGATTGCATGTGAACGCTATCATGTCGTATCACACTATCTAATTATTAAGTACCGTGAAATCGTGACTACTTGCTCACTAATTACTAATTAGACTTTTTGTTTTAACAGTTCCGGTTTGTGATTATATTCGATTACCTCATTTTATTCGACGGTTAACGAATCTCAGGTCTTTATTGTGTGCGATTTCATTTGTACTGCGATGACGCGATCCATGATTAAAAATAAGAAAGTATTGCCCTTGTAGTGGTCTCGGGGATGGTGTCATAGTTACAGTGACGCCAAATTTATTATCGAATGCAGTTAAGTTTATTGTATAATTAATAAATTGGGAATCTTTTGTTTTCACATCCAAACACTAAGCCCCCTTTAAAATCAAGTTTTTTTACTACAATTTTGATGTAATGAAGAGGATTGTTGAAAATAGACAGAATGATTGTAATTTGCAATCCATATTAACTATTTGCAAATTGCTTACAGCCGGTTGCAGGAATGCGAATTATATATAATCAAAATCCTAGATTATATTTGCCAAATCTGAGTTTAAACAAGAATTTTGACATTTGATTGGTTGCATCTTTCAGTATAAAGCCAATCAAATGTCTTAATACCGGATTAAACAATAATCCTGGATTATTTTTTTTGTGCAACTGGCCGTTAGTGTCTAATAGATTATTAAATTTAGACGTCATGTTATCTACTATTAATAAATCTAGATTTAAATCGCCCATACAGATTATGTCGCCACAAATTGGTATTGCTCTTGATAAAGTATCTTCAAAGACGCCCAAAAATTAAATTGCGAAACGGAAAAGCTAGTACTTACGTATGGCAAAGATCATACTACACACGATCTTTGTTTATGTGGACACAAGAAATGTTTTAGAAAATGTGTAGGAAATTTTTCCACTACTAAATTATCGAAAGCGTTCTAACAGCAAGGCTATGGCGAACAACAGCTGTGTTGGATGAGCAAACATACAAAGGGAAAATTGTTGATCTGGACCATGGAGTGAACACTTCAAATGCGATTATCTTAACTTGTGAGAAGGAAGTACTATCAAAGGTAACCTGGGCCATGCGTGTTATTTAGTGGGGTCAAAACTTCAAATCCAATTATGTATTTCTAAAACGGAGTGTCCAAAAATGGTACTTATAAATGGAAAATCTGGACCAGACGTATTTAAAATTTTAAATGCGATTGTCTTGAGAACCGAATGTCCCACGAAAAAATGGAACATCTGACAAAGAGATACTTATCGTTTTGCAAAATGTCACTTTGATAGAATTTTCTAGATCGGCTCACTATTATACCCGCATGCGTGTGCGATTCAATAATACAGGAACCGTCAAATTCGGCAACCTCAAACCATGGTTCTATGCTTATTGTGTTAGAAACTCATAATGAAATACTGTTGCTGACAGCGGAATTTTTTAGAAAGGCTTGTCTTATCAGCAATGATAATAATAGGGAAAATGTGATCACTTGTGAGTAAGAAAGGTAGCAATCGATTAGGTACGCATTAAATATCACAGGATTCCACCGATGAATGCCTTCATGTTATAAATCCATCACATTTGCATAACTTTATATAAAATTATTATTGGAAATTTTCACGTGTAAAAAACTACTTTCTTTTTCTATTGTACGTATAGATGACATTTTTTTGAATATCTTAACCATCAACATATAATAAATGAACTGCGCGTGTTAATGTATGCGCGGATACTGCAGGTGAGAGAGAAGGGAAAACTAAGAGGACAAGCTGTCTCTTACGGTTACGCATCTGATTGGTTATTTCAATTTAATTGGAATGCGATCGCTTCTGTTGAAAGAACTAACCATGCGTAACCAAGGGACAGCTTCCCCTCTTAGTTTTCCCTTCTCTCTCACCTGCAGTATGACGTCAAAATTTAAATTTGAAAATTTTGAGAATTTTTTTTTAAATTGTCGATATGATGTGCCACTTAGCTGCTACTTTTGAGCAGGAATATCCTGTTAAAGCTTGTCAACCGAACACCCTTATCAGTTGTATTGAGGTTAAATTAGCGATAACCCTAAAGTGTATTGCACTCGTAACCCATTTTCATTTCTAGATATCGACAATGGCGATTGAAAAAATTTGCTGTCTCGGCGCGGGATACGTGGGCGGTCCAACATGCAGCGTAATCGCGATGAAATGTCCCGAAATAAAAGTAACCGTCGTCGATATGAGCAAAGAACGAATCGCCCAGTGGAATTCCGATAAGCTTCCAATTTATGAGGTAAACTATTCCAAACAACCCTTAACTAGTCTTATCGACAATTTACATAGCCCGGCCTAGACGGCGTGGTGAGGGCGTGCAGAGGAAGAAATTTATTCTTTTCGACCGATTACACCACCGCCATATTGGAGGCGGATATCATTTTTATTTCGGTGAACACGCCGACCAAAACTTTCGGAAATGGAAAGGTGAGTGGTTCCATTTTTAGTCCGGTGATAACTTGGTTCTTTCAGGGGCGAGCTGCCGATCTTAAATACGTGGAAGGCGCCGCGAGAATGATAGCGGAAATTGCTCAAAGTAATAAAATAGTTGTCGAAAAGAGTACCGTTCCGGTTCGTGCCGCCGAAAGTATTTTAAATATACTGAGCGCTAACAACAAACCGGGCGTTTCTTATCAGATACTGTCGAATCCTGAGTTTTTGGCGGAAGGTGTGTCCTTGTTCTTTGGTGTTGATACCATTAGTTTCTTTCCACAGGCACTGCAATTGAAGATCTACTGCACCCAGATAGGGTTTTAATTGGTGGTGAGGAGAGTGCGGCAGGGCATGCCGCGATTGAAGCTTTATGCAGTGTTTATCAACATTGGATACCTAGAAAAAACATTCTCACCACTAACACCTGGTCGTCTGAGTTATCAAAGCTGGTTGGTATTTTTTGAACTTAATAACCATTGAACGGTTTGAAAAGTAATCTTATCATCTTAGATGTCAGGTAGGTATGGGAAACTCGCGAATCAAATTTTTCACACACTCACACTCTCGGAATTTGAATGTTACCCGCTAAAAAAACCGAAACGGGTTCTCCTTTCTAAACGCAATTACCTCGACTGTCGTGCCCTTACAACCAATTAAAAGAACCCGGATTTTTTAGGTCCGAGAGATTGTGACAACCGCGCTCGCTTTTCCGAATACGTTTCGTGTTATCGCCAGACTTAGTTTAGTTCAAGTTTACTATGCAGCGGTACGTGTGGAAATTTTCCTATGTTTAATAACAAAATACAATTCAAAATGAAATTTTTGAAACTGCAAAGCGGCCATCTGTTACAATACGTCTTACAAGGGAAGAGATTTGTCTAACTTTGTGTAATTTTATAACTGCGATGCCCGAATTATTTAGAGCGTCCTTTTCAAAGGCTCCTATAGGCAATTGCGATCTCATTTCAGTGGGGATGTTCTAAGGTTTTATACAACGCTGTGTAAGTGTAAGTTTTTTGTCATTCTTCATCAAAAAATATTTTCGAGGACTTATCTTCGGAATCTTGTAGAGATTTCTCTCAGCATTTTGTCCTAAATTTTCAAAATAGTTTCTGAAATGCCCTGCAAAGCTCTTCTCACCATTCTTTCCTACATCTGTATAGAGATTTTTTTCATAGAAACTCGCTTTTATCATTGAATCCTTTTAAAGTCACTTTTTCTAAGATTCCTCTTGGGATTTTTGTTCAAACCCTTTTCAAGATTCATCTGGAGGTTCTCTCCAATATTATTAGCAAGTGTATTATATATTTTTTCCTAACATTATTTTCTTGACATTCTTGGGACCTATTCAATGCTCATTTCTAAATTCATTCCCACATTTTTCCAAAACCTGGTCCAGATTCTTTCAAAATTGCTCTTTATTCTCCATATAAATAAAACGCCAGATATGGGGAGAGTGAAATTTAATTAAATTCGTTAATAACAAAAACAACCACATCCAAATTCAAATCAGGGTTGCCCCCTCTTAATCACACGAGAATAGCTGTAGGGACTTCATTGATTCCAAGAAAGGAAAAAAGCTATTGAAAACCTTCCTATGTACTCACTTCCTCAGTTGTTTTCCAATCTGCAGTTAACAATTTTACATTAGTTTTCAGCCTGTACGATAACATTGGACAATTTTATTTCCAACCACGGGAACTTTCGTCTTGCAATTTAAATTGGTAACGTTCGCGGTAAAACATTTCCAGTGGCGTAGCTTGCGTTTTTATGCTTTAATGAAATGCATTAAAAAAACATCATATCTTCTGTAAGAACAATGTAATCATAAAATAGCAGGTATTGGGGCACATAACCAGTGACCAGCAGTTTTCCGACTATCATATATGATGGAACTTACAGGTCTAAATTTTTTTATTTTTTTCCAGGCTGCCAATGCTATGTTAGCGCAAAGAATATCCAGTATAAATTCACTATCGGCAGTATGCGAATCGACTGGCGCCGACGTATCGGAGGTGGCCCGCGCGATCGGTTTGGATTCGAGAATTGGCTCAAAATTTCTTCAAGCTTCAATAGGTATCGCTCGCACTTTCTCGCCGTTAAAAACAACTAACAACCCTCTTCTTTTATTGGTTTTGGCGGGAGCTGTTTCCAAAAGGACATACTGAACCTTGTATATATTTGCGAGTGCCTAAATTTGCCAGAGGTCGCCGCCTACTGGCAGCAAGTGATCGACATGAACGAGTACCAAAAAACGCGATTTACAGCGAAAGTGGTGCAAGCACTGTTCAATACAGTGAGCGGAAAGCAAATTGCTTTGTTAGGTTTCGCGTTTAAGAAGAATACGGGCGATACACGAGAAAGTCCTGCGATTCATGTCGCTAAAACACTTCTTGACGAGGGCGCTACTCTCCATATTTATGATCCTAAGGTTCGTGTACACATCACACTCAAAAATGTCTAACCATTTCAGTTAGGTTGAAGAATCACAAATATTTGAAGATTTAACGCATCCCTCAATTTGTGAGAGCCCAGAATATGTAAGGAAATCTGTCAAAATTCACGAAGATGCGTACACTGCCACGGCCGGTACCCATGCCATTGTATTATGCACCGAGTGGGATGAATTTATAGTAAGTAAATCTAAACTTAAAGTTCATTTTCTTATAGGCTACATTAGTGTTTAGATTATAACAAAATTTACAATGGAATGATGAAGCCCGCCTATATTTTCGACGGGCGCAAAATCTTGAATCACAGCAGGTTATTAGAAATTGGATTTCATGTCCACACGATCGGGAAAAAGTTGAATCGTCCCATTGCCACTAGATGTTGGAGTAACAGCGGAACGTTCCCTTGACTGTGCCATTATGGCATTTTGTTTTTATTCCCAGTACTTAATTCATTCTTTTTAAAGGTCTGTTTAACGAATATTTCACTATGTAAGTATTATTTTTATATTTGTATGAAACATACAAATACCAGTATTGAACTTTTTATCAGCTTATATATTCCTATGTGCAATTTATTTTTATAAGAGAAAATTGTAAGATATTTTATAATTAATTCTAATAAAGAACCAATTTGTGAATGTCACTTGCGGTAGTACTACTTTGCTGCAATTATAATTAGCCTGTCACCTGTTGTACAGCTACTTTGTTTTGTTGCTTCTTTCTCTACTTTTGTGTTGCATTGCCTTTGTTCTCGCTCTCGCCTCCTCATCTCTGTGGCTGTTCTTGTTATTGTCTAAAAAAATCTTTTGACGCTATTATTTCTTATCAAGTACTGTTTTCTGCACCCTTAAACTGTTCCCAATTCAACACACCTCCCATGAAACATTTGGTTGAGCACGCCTCATAATGGAAAACAATATACAGTGAGTTTTTTTTTAAATGCGAACATAGGAGTTTGCAGGCAATGTAAAATGTTCGATTTAAAAAAAAACACATCAATCTATGAGGTGTGCGCGGTTAACATTCCCAAAACGCGCAATTTGTGTGACTATGAACAGCAACTCATAGTCTTTATGATGAAGAGCACTCGATAAGATTTTTTTAAATAAGCCATGTGAGGCCATAGCAACTTTAGGATAAATTTTTCTTAAACTTACGATAACTTGATTTCACATGGCACGCGCTGACATCACAATTCATTGTGAACCAACCTTCAATTATTTGTAGTTCATTTGCACCTGGTATTCTACTAATTTGATTTATTCAATACATAAATAAGAAAATAAATAACGCAAACAATTACAATAAATGTTCGAAGTGTCCTCACTTGACATTCTAAGCAATAACCTAACCGATTTCGTAATTAAATTGGACGGCAGTATTTTTAAAAATGTGACAGCTGTCAATTGTATCTACTACTCATTTGAACTACTCAATAGATTGATGTGTTTTTTTAAAAATCGAACATAGGGAAATTACATTGCATACAAACTCCTATGTTCGCATTTAAAAAAATTCACTGTATAAATCAAAATCGTGCAAAAATACCTACATCTACAGTTCAATTTACGCAGTCAAACAATCCCGTAAAATGATAAATTGCATGTACATAAAAAACATCAAAACGCAAGCATCACATTGATAATCTACTTGCGTGTGAACCCACAGATAAATACCTAATAAAACAATGTAAAGGTATAACCATTTGTACCATGCTTCAATAAACAAATAGCGTTGAATGTAAGATGTACATAATCACAATTGTGTAAACAAAAAAATAAAATTCTTAACACAGTTAAAACGAAACATTATTGCTCATATTATGACGATTGTGATAGTCGGGGAAATTTAGTTGATGTACATCAACAAACAAAGCAAGCAAAAGCAACTGCTAAGGGTAAAAAGAGTAACGACGGAGAAAACCTTGACGTTTAATTAACACAGCCCAAAAGTTAATTAACAAAATAATTTGTGGAATTATCAAGTTTAAGCAGTGGTTAAAAAAATAGTAAATGCATATCCATAAAGGTGGTTATCCTCAAGGTTAAAACTAATTTTGCGAACAATGGGTCAGGTAAGCAGGTAGGTATAGACCGAGAGGCAGCGTACAAGGTAACTAAACCATAAGCGACAACATATTCGATAATTCAGGCTGAAAGTACGTTGAAAACTAGTAATAAAATCCCTTGTCTGCCAGTCGTAAATAGCAGCATTAACTTGAATGAGTGACTTCTTTAGGTGATCAACTAAATTACTAAACTATATAAGGGTCACGGAAAAGATTTATATCAAGAAATCTCATTTTTCCCATAGTTTTTAAATATGCTATGGCAGACGGTTTCAAGTGCAGCGTTGGTGGCGACAGACGCCCTGCAATGTAGGGAAAAACACTCCTGAACTAAACCATAAGGACCATATAAAAATACAAGGCAACTTGAACTAACGACAAAATTCAACATTTATCGCACGTAGATTCTAAATCGAAGAGTTCTGATCAGCATAATCTCGCCCCCGAGATATGTACATACCTTTGTTCGGGGTTTCGAGCCTACAGTTGAATGTCGAACATAATTACGGAATTAAGTGTCGTATAACTCATTTGGTTACAGTTTTTTTACCACCCCCGTGACCGTCTCTTCTCGGAGAAAGTCTTAGTTTACAAACAACAATTCCTTACATACACATCGTACTTCAAACAATTCGATAATTTTAAAAGAATGATAAAAATTGATATGAATAATTCTTCTAGTCAGGATTATGTAATCAAAATAAAATAAAAAAGAACAAACATTAAAAATGAAAAAGAAACTATAAAAGTTAACGTTAAGTATCAAACACGTGATCCTGTATCGAGGTTAAATCAAGTCAATTTCAAAAACAAATATGACAAATTATAAAGGAATATACAATCTTGCATGCAAAACACCTTAGAGAAGGAGTAAGCAAAACACAAAGAAATGCAAAGATTACTACCTGGATTAAATAACAACAAAATTAAACTGCAGGTTCCCCTTTCTAAAAATTACGTGGTTGCCAGCTCTCAAAAATGTGTATCATCGCAGGTTGTATATACCTACAGGGTGGAATCTTTCACGCCAATGACTAATCTTTTATGGCGCCTCGATGTCTATTGGGATTTCTAGAATATTTACTACCTACAGTAATAATAATAGTCTTATAAAAATGTATGATTTTTGAAGCGAATAGGGAATATATCTTTATGTGCACTTATAGAGTAGCTTGTGGATCATTTAACAAAATCAACCCAGGAAGAAAATATTCGATGTTTTTCAACAACCATTATAAGACACTCACAACAGATGAATCGTTATGAGAGTGAGTTTTTGCAAAAAAATTATAATTGTTGAAACGAGGGAGGCGCTACACATTTATGTGTACTTAAAAAGGGGGCATATGTCGATATTCTGTAACCAAAATCAAACAAGGAAACAAAATATTTGAAGTGTCACAGAAATTACAACCCTCGACACAATAAACGGATTATTATATAAAAGAATGGAATAAAAGTAATTATAATGTAACGTAAATTTAATTGCGCCATTTATTTATTTACAATTATAATTATTAATGAACATTTTTGTACACAAATTTATAACATGTAAATTTATCACATACGAGCGTAAACTTCACTATAATAATCACCTCCTTATCGCCGGTGACTTGTTTATCTACTTGATGGCGCCTCCATGTCTGGGGTACTCGCAATTTGTGAGTACACTTAAAGGGAGGGCTTGTGAATCTTGTAAATAAAATCAAACAAGGAGACAAAACTGTTTGAAGTACCACACAGCCCTCACACAATAGATGAAGTGAGGAGATTATCGGTACAAAAACAAAAAAAAAACATGTAGATCAGTGTCGGATTTATTTCTGCCGCTGTGGGCAAACATTTTTTGCCGCTCTTGACATATCACTATATCACCGTTATTACAGCGCAAACGCTCCCTTTGAATAAAAAAAAGTAAGGCATTCATTGGCTATATTTGCAATGCAATGAATAACAGATTTTATTTTTGCTTCATTTCATTTACCGATTCACCGTTTACCTAAAAAATTTGAACGCATTTTAATTTTTCTGTTTTCCTCCAAATATGCCGCCCTTACAACTTTACCGCTGTGGGCAATTGCCCCTTATATAAATACGGCACTGATGTAGATTAATAAATTTTTAGATAGATCTAGTCTTCCTCGCCTAGAAAAATACCTGCCACCCTTATTGTGTGCCCCAAGTGCCTGGACAGACAGACATATAAACAATTTATAAAGTATGTCTTTACACATGTCATTTTGTGTTTTCAAAATTAAGCGATACTGAAGACTAAAAAGAGAATTTTCCGGAATAAGGACGGAACGTTTAAACAGGCCTCGCCTTTATAAAAATATAAACATAACATAGATGATAAATCGCGCTATAGTATAGTCATTAATCATTATCGTCGTCAGATATTTCGTAAAATCTATTCGTATATTCAAAGGCCACAAGCAATATCGTTCTTATCGGAATGTTTAACTTCTTTTACAAGAAACTGACGCCAGTTTATTGTAATAAATGCTGTTCCAGCATTTACATTTATAGAACTAGATTTGCGCAAACTTTCACCCAGTACGCTTTCACAAACAAAATTGATGTGCATTTGAAGGTGACTTATCAGGCGACACCGCGGCCGTTATCAATTATTTGTTTATAGCTTTTCTATCTTATCACTTGAAAATTGGTTGTCGCTTTTTTCGCGTTTTAAATTTCCCACGCCTACAGCGCTCTCTGTTGTTTTAGTTTGTTCTAGTGAGAAGCAAAAACGACATGGCTGATATTTTTATACCAGTCATTAAACTTTTTAAATAAATTTCAATAACACAATTTATACGTAAAGTTCCGAGTGTCATCTAATAAAATCGATTAAAGAGGAAGCCATAAGTATTATTCGTTATCCTTAACAATGTACAAAATGTGTAGAAAAGTGCTAAACACTCGATTTAAGTTTGGAGATTTTTCTTAAATGGCAGAGAACTGCAGTTTTTTGTGCCGAATTTTTCGGTAAAAATGTAAATAATTACAATAAAAAATGCGTGAGATTATTTATTAAGTGATAATTTAATTTACAAGTGCATCCAAAAAAAATGTGTAGGTCTGCCTTAATTTTTATTATTGGAGTTTTTTGGCTGTGCCAAAAATTTAATGGTGAGTAAAAGGTCACGTAATTATAGTCATTTTAATATGCCAGACTATTTTGTCTACTTATTTTAAATAATTATTCAATTTATCCCGACTTTTCTTGGCAAAATTTTTATGAACCTCTCGAACTGCTTAAGTTCAAGGCTATTTCTTTAATATCTTTTCGCCTGTTTATGTTTTAATTACCTGTTAGATCGGTTTTCTTTAATTGTTCTTTTTTCGTTTGCAGGAGTTAGATCCTTAAAATGTAGATGCGATATATGCCGAAATACTAACTATACGTGCGAAACCGACGGCTATTGCTATACGTCCACTCAGCAGGTTAAAAATGGAGCAATTCAACTTAATTATAGGTAGGCGAGTACACTATTTCGTTAGTTTAGTTACCAATTGCGAGTTATCACATGGTCGCAACTACGATATGTAGCCAGTCTAAATTGAATCCTTTGTCGAAATTGATCCCAATTCTTTCCCTACCTTCTTCCAATTTGATGTTACTAACATGTTCTCAATTGGTTTATATAATATCGATGTTTACGTACTTTGCTACAACTTAAAGAGTACCGTTTCTAAGTGGACGTACCAAACCAGACCTTTAAATATGTGGGTAGGTAGGTTTTAGGGACGTACACTCTGTATCATATGATCCAGGTCCATGGTCTGACACTCGGTCTGACAGTATAAGTGATATTACTATGGATCTTCGATATACATTTTTCAGAGAACACAATGAATAGTTTAGGCTGATTGTAGGGAACTTTAATAGGGATGCAAACATTGAATATTATTTGTGATGCATTCAATCAATTGGTTAAATAATCTGGCATAAAGAATGCTCTTTGAGAAATGTTTGTTTGTATACTGTGTAAGTTGGGTCTTTATGTTTTCTCAACTTTTACTTTTTTTTAGCCTCCTTGGCAGAATCATGATACAATTATGTTCTTATGCAGTATAAATTACGAAGCCTGAAACCAAGGCATTATCCACTATCTTAAAATTGGACACCAAAAGCAACTAGCAGTAATACAAGATTTTTTTATGAGACTCAAATAATGTTTCAAAGAAGATAAGCAGATTTTTAATATTTGTAGGGAGATATGTTTTTTACAGAAAAATGTTTATTGAAAGTTCTCCTAAGGAGATTCCGAAGATTTTTAGTCGAATTGCACACAAGAACACTTAAGACATACAGATTTATTACAGCTGTGTTCTGACTGTACATTCCAGTTGAATATGGTGTAGGAGCCTTGAGTCTTCAATAAAAATTATTATTATTATTCTCGTTATTATTACTATTATTAAAATTAAAAAAGTCGAGAAAAAAGTTTATTATTATTTTCAGAGGTGGTCACTGTACCAGGGCTTTAAGGTCTCATGTACTCTTAGCCTTAGCATGTCAATATCTTTGAAGAAATCTAAAATCCTTGGAACAACATCTTGTAGCATTCTCGGACACATCTTTATTCCCCACTAAGAAACCTGTGCATTTATCTGTTATATCCCTTACAGTGGTAGTATATGCAGAGTTTTTTCTTCTTCCTGGCACCTCTGCAAAGTGGGTTTATTCCGAGGCCCATATTGTGGAGGTATCTTTTCATTCGACAGTGACTCATTAGGAGACCTGTCAAAAGATATAGAGGGTGTGGCATCTAAGTAAGATCCTTGGTACCCCCCTCCCCCCTTTTCCATAAGATACCCAAAAAAATCTTGGACCAAAATCACCAGTGACTTGTATTCCAGTGGCGTTTTTTTAAAGGGAACACTTTATAATCGCGCCGGCGGCGGCTAAGTTGTTGAGGCACATACTAAGATCTCTTCTACTTTCACATAATTTTTTTAGGCACTTTTTTATTGATCTTCGCTGAAAGTGCAAAAAAATCAACGTTTGAACTGATTTCAATTGACCAATTGATAATATTTAAATTTATCCGTAGGAATGTTTGGAACAGGAAAGACTTCCTTTTGAGGAATTCCTGAAACATCCTTGAAATCCTTCAAATTCCTCGGAATGCTCAAAATCCTCGAAATTCCCAAAAATTCTCAAAATCATCGAAAATTCAGGAAATTCTCAGAATCAAATTATCGAAATCCTTAAAAATTCTCAAAATCCTCGAAAATTCCAGATATTCTCAGAATTCTAGATATTCTCACAAGTCCTAGGAACCCTGAAAATCCTCGAAAACTCTCGAAATCTCCAGAATCCTCGAAATCTGCAAAATCTTCGAAAATTCTTGAAATACTCTAATCAAAATCCCTAAATTCTTCGAAAATCCTCAAAATCGTCAAACGTTCTCAAAATTCTCAAGAATTCTCGATATCCTCAAAATCGTTACAATTCCCACAATACTCGAAAATCCTTGAAATCATCGAAATCCCCAAAATCCCCAAAATCCTCTAAATCGTGAAATATTCTCAAAATTCTCGAGAATAGGCAAAATCTTCACAAACCTCGAAAATCCTTTAAATTTTCGAATTCTCCAAAATCCTCGAAAATCCTCAAAATCAAATTATCAAAATCCTCGAAATTTTCAGAATTGTCGAAATCCTCTGAATCTTCGAAATTCTTGATAAGTATGTATTCTCGAAAACCGTAGAAATCTTCAGAATCTTCAAAATCCTTGAAATCCTCGAAATTGTCGAAATCTTTGGAATCTTCGAAATCCTTGATATCTTTGAAATCCTCAGACATTCTCAAAATCATCGAGAATTCTGTCTTCGACATCCCCAAAATCCCTACAGTCCTCGAAATCAAAATCTTCAATATTCTGGAAAATCGTAAAAATCTTTAAAATCCTTGAAATCTTCGAAATCCCCAAAATCTTCAATATTCTCGAAAATCCTAAAAATCTCCAAAATCCTTGCAAATCCTCAAAATCCCCACAATCCTCGATATCCTTGAAATCTTCAAAATCGAAATCTCCAAAATCCTCTAAATCTTCAAACATTCACAAAATCCTCGAAAATCCTCAAAATCAAATTATCAAAATCCTGGAAATTTTCAGAATTATCGAAATCCTCGGAATCTTCAAAGTTCTTGAAATCTTCGACATTCTTGATGTGTATTCTTGAAAATACTAGAAATCTTCAAAATCCTTGAAATCCCCGAAAACCTTAAAACCGTCGAAATCTTTGGAATCCTTGAAATTTTCGAAATTTCCAAAATCCTCCAAAATCCTCAAAATCAAATTATCAAAATCCTCGATATTTTCAGAATTCTCAAAATCTTCGAAGTCCTTGAAATCTTCGAAATTCTTGATAAGTATTCTCCGAGGTATTCTCGAAAATCCTTCTATATCCCCAAAATCCTTACAATCCTCGAAATCAAAATCTCCAAAATCCTCGAAATTCTCACAGTCCTCGAAAATCTTTGAAATCTTCGAAATCGAAATCCCCAAAATCCTTCGAAATTCTCAATATTTTAGAAAATCCTAAAAATCCTCAAATATTCTCAAAATCTTCGAAATCTTCACAAACCTCGAAAATCCGTAACGTCAGTGAAGGTAGGATCATGACCCCTTCCCAAGATGTTTCCCGCTATAGCCGCCTGTTCAATAATTCTATGAAGCTGTGCCAATGGGTCCCTGTTTGAGTTCAATTCCGTGGAGAATCCAGGTTTTAATGCGCCCTCTGTCTCCTCTTCAGTGAGCATAACCTCCGGGTTTTGATGGCACCACATCTTCTTTGAGGTGATCATTTTGGTGGGTGGCAGCTCGGTACAGTCCCCTTTATCTTGCTCCGCAAAGCCCAGCATGCGAGGTAACCTCTTTGTACTATAAGGTGGGGAAGGTGTTTTATTGGGGGTTCCAGTCACGGCTGACCCTCCAGTCAACCATGTGACGCTGCCACTCGTCCTTCAGTATGAGTACCTGAAACCTTGGAATTGGGTTTTCCCTAGTTACGCCTTGCACACACTGTGTGTTGTAGTTTGGTTATGACTGCAGTGCGAGCTGCAGTGTATCTCATCTTTTTTTAGTTAGAGACTTGGGGTTTTCGCGACCCTGTGCCACTTTTTTGTGAAACATTCAATGGTGAAACTTAATACCACAAACAAAATCAATCCAGGTTTGTTTCTGAAAACGAAAAGTTTGACTTTGACTACTACCCTAGCTACTACCCCTGTTAGATAAAAATGGTAAAAACTGCCTATTTTCGATATTTTTACGGAAAATCCAGTGGCGTAGTAAAAACTTTTTTTTACCATTGTTTCTGTGATTTGACCGAATGTTGGTATTTTTCCCGGTATTTTTATATGCCGTCAATTGCTTTGCATTCTTTTTTTTGATTGTTGTATCACAACCTATATTTAAATTTTAACCGTGAACGAAAAATAAAAAGCTTCTATCATTCGTTACGGAATTTGTTTATGGGGACCATCCCCTTATTCTCGTTGCGTCTTTCTCTCTCAAAAGAGAATTATCCGAACACTTGCAAATATTCGCAAATTTGATTCTTGTCGAGGATTCTTCAAAAAACATAAAATTCTCACTCTAACAGGATTGTATATATTTGAAATCTGTCAATATATTTATGTCAACTCTAACAAGATGGTTAAAAGTAAGGATATACATCAATACAATATCCGAGGTAATGATAATCTTCGACCACATTTCACTAAGACAAAAATTGGAATCAATTCACCCTCCAATCTGGGAATTAAGATCTACTGTTTAATGTAACTTGTTTGTCGCTATTTAATGTGTAATTTGTTTTTTACCTATATAATACTTAATGTACCTACTCGTAATTTAAATATTTGTTGACAATTTCCACACAAACTAGTTTGTCTATGGAATAAAATACTATTATTATTATTATTTTTACAGTGTTTAAATAGTAGGCCATGGATTCATGGAGATTCTGTTTTATTTATTGTATCCATGGTAACTAAGGCAACCGATACCGATCAATCAAAATGGTAGAACCATGTCATTTCAAAATTTTGAAAAAGATGATATGATATATACTTAATTATATTAAATAATATAGGTTGTGATACATCAATGTAATCAGAAAAAGGAATGCAAAAAATTAACGTTAAGATATACTGGGTGTTGCATTACAACTTTCAGTCAAATCTCAGAAAAGGTGGCTCAACATTATTTTTGAGTACGTCACTGGATTCTACGTTAAAATATTTAAAATAAGCAGTTTTTACCTTTTTATCTTACAGGGGTAGTAAAGATCCCACAAAGTCAAACTTTTCCTTTTCACCCTGTATAGAGACAAACGTGTGTGGTATTAAAAGTGTCGCAGGGTCGCAAAGTGTCTATCTCAGTCTCTATCTTTAAAAACAGCTGAGATACACTGCAGGATCAACCAAAATAGGACACACTGTAGGTAGGGTACATAGATT